GGCACTGAATTAACACAGCAAATGTTTATTTCAAGGATCATCACTCCTTAGCAGCCTGGTATTTGTCAAGTCTTTTGTATGTTCTATGCCTCAGTTGTTTTATTTATAATACGGGATAACAATAGGGCACTTTCCCTAGGTTTACTGAAGAGATTAATTGGCATAGTACATATAAATTGCTAAGCACAATGCTTGGCAAACAAATATTCAGTAAGTAGTAATGATCCTTCTTCCACCTTCTTTTCCATTCTTATAAAATGTTTATCAAAATGGAAACAACCTAAATGCCCACCAACCCAGGAATGGATTAACAAGCTGTGTATATGTAGACCATGGAATACTATTGTGCCATTAAAAAAGGTGGAGACTTTACGTATTTGTATTAACCTGGATTGAGTTGGAATGCATTGTTCTTAGTAAAGTATCACAAGAAGAGAGAAGCAAGAATCCAATGTGCTCAATTCTAATAGGAAGCCAATAGATGATCTAACACATACTCTTATAAGAGAAAAGCTCAAATCTATTCAAGGGTGGGGGACAGGGGGACCAGGATGTGTGGAGAGGGGAAGGGGGGGAGATGGGGGTTACAGAGTATAGAAAACCTCTTGGGGGCAGAACACAATTATAGGAGGGGCTTCACCTAACAAATGTAATCAGTATAACCTAATTCTTTGTACCCTCAATAAACCCCAAACAATAAAAAAAAATAAAAAATAAAAATATATATTAAATATAGGGTAAAATTTTGGTATATTAAAGTCAGGAATAAAAAAATGAACTTTGATCTATACAATAGCATTATCAAATACCATGAATATAGTTTTGAGCAAAAGTAGCCAGACAAATGATAATACACCTTGTATTGCTGGCCTGTTTGACATCAGGAATGGACCTGCTTTATACAACAGAAGTACTTCAGTCATAATTGTGAAGTAAATGAAAAATAATAATTAAGGAAAAACAAGGTAAAAAGTAAAATCAAATACAATAAAAATCACTAGTAAAAATAATGCAAAATAAATATTATACTTTAAAAAAGGGAAAACCAGTAAGTATATTTGACTTTTTTTACTTTATTTTTTTGAACTACTTCATATGTGTTTTCATCGTTGTATGTGAAATTTCTGAAAAATTATTGTCAAAATGGGGATTGTAACTATTATTTTGTAATAGCATGGTGGGATTGTTCTTTCTTTTTTCCTTATTACACTTAGTTTATGAGAATGTAAGGATGAAATTATAAAGAAATCATGTATAAAAATAAGGAATTATTTGTTATATTTTTCCAATGAGTATATATTTTTATTCATGATAATGAAAAATAAAACTATTATATTAGAATGAGAATACTGTCTCCTCTTATTCACTTGGCTGAAAATCAGAATTCAAAATCAGCATATAAACTATGATGCTTTTGTACTGGCCTCATGGTTCATGTGGCCACATTTCTTGCTGATGTGTTTTGCGTGAGAGCCAGGAGTGTGAGGAATGGGGCAAAGAGATGATAAATGGGAGGGGGGGGGAGAGAAAGAGAGAGAGAATTCTACTCGGTTATTATTTCAAAGCTCTCTTTAATATTTTTAATAAATAACAAAGCATAAACATTATGATACAGCAATTACATAAAAATTGAAATGAGTTAAGTATGCCAAGGTAAAACAATTTGCTTTTTTTCCAGATCTTTACATGTCAGCTATTATATTTATATCTCAAGTTTCCCATCCAGACTTAAGTAGCTTGTATCCCTTCACTTACAGTCAAGACTTTTCCAGAGTATCTTGCAGACTTTAATACAGATGGCTATCACTGGATATAATATCACATATTAACTTGACGTTGAATCCTGATCTTTCCAGGACAGTGGCTGGATCATCAACCACCATGATGGAACACCATCATCTTTGATGGAGTACATGGTTCTCTAAAAGTCTAAATATCTGCGCAGGATACAAAGAACCAGCTTTACGGATTCCAAATCTCTTTAGGTGCATCTTTGAATTTTTATTCTTAAAAATTTCATAGTCCACATTGATAAATAGCCTGTGTTATGTACCATTACTTCAAATACAGAGACCTATACTGTAAAAGTAATAAAACCAAAGAGAAGACACTAAGTTGCCTTCCTATAATTTTCAATCAGCTATAGCTGAGCACTGGGTTCCTGGCAATTTTACTTTATGGGCAGAGGATAGAAAAGATTAATTATTTTCACAGCATTTTTATGCATACATCAGCAAACTAACATCCCAGGTATTGATCTTTTCTCAAATCAGATATTTGTAATTCTCTCTTTGTTGAAGAGACAAAGTCTCACTCTGTTGTGTGGGCTATAGTTCAGTGGCATTGCCATAGCTCACTGAAGCCTCCATCTATGGAACCCAAGGGATCCTCCTGCCTCAGCCTCCTGAGTAGCTGGGACTATGGTAATGTATCATCTTACCTGACTGAAAATTAATTTTTGTAGAGACAAGAGTCTCACTATTGCCAAACTGGGGTCAAGCAATCCACCTACCTTGGCCTCCCATAGTAGGATTACAGGCCTGGGCCACCATATCCAGCTCTCTTTTCATTTAATTATGTCTCATTCACACTTACCTGATTTTTGAATAGCTTCCATAGGGTATGCTCAAAAATATTTCATGAATCAGGGAAATACAAATCAAAATCACGTTGAGATATCATTTAACTCCAAAAAGATTAGCCCACATCATATAGTCCCAAAACTGCAGATGCTGGCATGGATGTGGAGAGAAGGAACACTTCTACACTGCTGGTGGGATTGTAAGCAATGCACTCTTTTTGGAAAGAAATGTGGAGAATTCTCAATGATCTAAAAGTTGACTTTCTGTATGATCTCATACTCCCATTACTAGGCATCTATCCAGAAGGAAAAAAATCATTTTACAACAAAGACATTTGCACCAGAATGTTTATTGCAGCCCAATTCATAATTGCCAAGTTGTGGAAACAGCCCAAATGCCCATCAATCCATGAATGGATTAACAAACTGTGGTATATGTATACAATGGAATACTATTCAGCCATAAAAGGATGAAGACTTTACATCTTTTATGTTTACCTGGAAAGAGTTGCAATATATTCTTAGCAAAGTATCTCAAAAATGGAAAAAAAGTATCCAATGTACTCAATGCTATTTGAAACTGATATATAAATACACTCTCATATGAATGATAAAACACAAGTATAGTCTAACAAGGGGGAAGGGAGAGAAAGGAGAGAGGAGGGGAGGAGGAGGGCAATTGGTGGGAGGAGGGAGGGCATTTGGTGGGATCCCACCTAATGTGCACAATGCAAGGATATATTTCAAAACAACTAAGAGTAAATTATAAATGTCTTACCACAAAAAATAAGTAAGTGAGGTGATGGTTATGTTAATCAGTTTGATTTGAGCATTCCACATTGTATATCAAATCAGCACATTGTACCTTATAAATGTATGCAGCTATGATTTAATTAAAAATTTTAAAAAATTCATAAATTTAAATTTCTAGGATAGTTTTTTGGTATGTTAATCTTGCAGTTCAAAGTACATTAACTAATGTTTAACATTTTTATGATTTGTTGTCTAAAAAATGAATAATACATTTTTTATTAACAAATTGACCTGTACAGAAACATAGCTTTTCTTTTTTATGAGTTTATTGAATGATAATTGATATATAATGAACTGCATAGCACATACTTAATGTATACAATTTATTTAATTTTGTTATCTTTATACACTTGTGACATCATCACTACAATCACAATAACATTTTCTTTCTTTCTTTTTTTTTTTTTTGAGACAGAGTCTCACTTTGTTGCCCTCAGTAGAGCACTCTAGCATCACAGCTCACAGCAACCTCCAGCTCTTGGGCTTAGGCGATTCTCCTGCCTCAGCTTCCTGAGTAGCCGGGACTACAGGTGCCTGCCACAGTGCTCTGCTATTTTTTTGTGGCAGTTTTGGCTGGGCCGAGTTTGAATCCGAGTTTAAATCCACCACCTTTGGTATATGGGGCCAGCACCCTACTCACTGAGGCCACAGGCACCGCCCCACAATAACAATTTCATTAGTTTCTAAAGTTTCCTTCTGTCCCTTCATTGGCCTGTTTTCTATCACTAAATAAAAGTTTGATTTTCTAGGTTTTCAAAATGAGAAATTATGCACAAATATGCTTTTGGTGTCACTTTTACTCATGAATTTCTTAGGTCTCTGCTGAGTCTTTGAATCAGCGATTTTTAGTTTTCAGTGTAGAAATTATGCACATATTTTGTTAGATTTATATTTAAGTATTTCTTTTTTGATGTTATTTTAAAATAATTTTAACTTCTTATTTTAATATATAGAAATAAAATAGATTGTTTTATATATTGACCTTATATCTTGATCTTACTAAACTCACTTGCTAGTTCCAGTAGCATTTAAATGTACAATATTAGAGTTTTTTTTAACATGACGAATCATTTATTTTCAGATAAAATTTTATTTTTTCATTTCAAATCTGTAAGCCTTTTCTTTCTCTTCTGCTCTGATTGCTTTGGTTAGGATTTTCATTCCATTAGTGAATAAGAGTAGCCATCTGTGCTTTGTTTCTGATTTTAGGGGGAATATATTCAGTCTTTTAATGCTAATATAATTATACTTGCAAGGTTTTTTTTTTTTTGAGGGGATACATTTAACAAGTTGAGGAAGTCTGATTCTTTTCCAAGTTTACTGAGATTTTACCTTTGGTGAATGTTAAATGCTTTTTTGCATCTATTGAGATGCTCAAACATCTTTCTCTCTATTTATGTTAATATGGTGAATTACCCTTAGTAATTTTCAAAGGTTGAACCAGGACAATTTTGATGAATTTTATATTCATAAGATTATATTTTACTTAATCTCCATTGCTGGATTATTATTCATACCGCTTTAAAAAGTTAATGATTACCTTCATCTAACCATAATATACCTCCAAACAATATTAATGTTTTTTTATAGTATAATAATCATACAGTCCTTCTTGTGGTTCATAGGCATGATGAATGAGGATTTTGTGTTCATGTGTGAGTTGTCTCCATTAAACTTTATGATAATGTCTACACATTACCTATTTGATGCTAAAAATTAAAAGAAAGAAAAGACAGAAAAGGGGAAGAAATTTTTTAAAAAAACTTAAAAAGAAAATAAAAAGAAAAAAGAAAACAGAAAATAAAAAAAGAATCTTACAAATTGCAGTAAATTCCTCTAATATTTGTGTCATTATTGTCATGTTATTCCTTCATAAACTCAGAATGCATTGCTATTATTTACATTAGGCAGTAAAATAAAATATAACTTGCTGTAAGTATTTTCAGAAATTAAAACTTTTCAAAAAGCTTTTTGTATTTGCACTTAACATTAATCATTTCTAGAATTTTTTTTATTTCTTTGTTTAAATCTTAAGTTTTATCTAATATATGAATTCCAGTCTTCTTGAAGACCATTTTAAAAACATTTCTTGCCATACCAATCTGCTGCAAATAAACTGTTTATTTTTGCTTGTCTAAAAATATTATCATTTCTCTTGCACTTATTAAGGATATTTTTACTATAAATAATATTTGGGATTGGTGGTATTTAACTTTTTGTCCTTTGTACATGGTGATCTCTTTTCTTTGGGCTTACATAATTCCTGACAAGGAGTCTGCTGTAACTCTACCCTTTCTTCCGGCATCATTTATCGGTGTGATTTCTGATTGCCTTCAAAGTATTATCTTTATCTTTGGTTTTGAGCTGTTGAAATATGAGGTGTCTAAGTGCATATGTGTGTGATTTATTTCCTTTGATATTTCTTGGAATACCCAAAATTTATTGTAGCTATCGTTTGAAATATTCAGTTATTTTTGGAAAATTCTCAATGCTTATCTTTTCAACTATTTCCTCAGGTCTTTCATCTTTTCCTTGGTAGATTTTTAATATTCAATTGATAATGTTCCATAATTTGGGCTTCCTGGTTTTTATTTTCTTGTTTTGTATATTTTATGTCCTTGTGTTTCAGCTCAGGTAATTTATGTTGATAAATCTATAAATTCATGGACTCTTATTTGTTCTCCTTGCTCCTGAGTCTGTCAAAATGTGTCTTTATCTCTGTTACCATAATTTTAATTTCTAGAATTTTAATTTTTTTTCTAATGGTTTCTATCTTTTTTGAAATTCCCCACATATGACTGCTTCTTATCAGTTTCTTCCAGAGACTTAGGCACATTAATTATAATTATTTTAAAATTTTTGTCTGAAATTCCTACATCTCAATTATCTCTGAGTCTGGTTGTGTTGATTGCTTTTTCTCTTGACTGTGTATTTTCTATCTGCATTAGTTTTCATGTCTCATAACTTTCAGTTGATTACTGCATCATTTTTAGGACAATAAAATTAAAATAAGGAATGTTTATACCTGAAATGTGCATGCTTTTCATGCTAGAACTTCAGTGTGGTGATTGAGTTAACCTAAGCAAGTGTTCAGTCCTTTGGGGGTTTTGTTGTCATCATAATTACTTTCAGTAAACCACTGGATTCAAATACCTTTGTGTTATCTGATGCTTAATGTGAAAATTAGTTGCTAGTGAACTTTTCTTAATGGTTTACTGGATAGAAGCATTGGTTTAGCTATATATATCCAACATAAGTTTGATGTTATGTGTTATGTTGTCATTTTTATTTCATTCAACATATTTTTAATTTAACTTCATATTCCTTCTCTTACACATAAAGTATATATAAATACTATTTCCCTGAAAATAAAACCTACCCCCAAAATAAGCCCTGGCAGGATTTCTATGCATTTGTTAAATATAAGCCCTACCCTGATAAAAAGACACAGTGTATCTACATAGCCATGCCATGCATTTCCGTGCGGAGAGGAAGACATCCCCTGAAAATAAGCCCTAATGTGTCTTCTTGAGAAAAAATTAATATAAGACAGTGTCTTATTCTTGGGGAAACACAGTATTTAGTGTAGTTTCTAAATTTGGGGGAGTTTTCAGATATTCTTTTGTTACTAACTTTTTTATTAACATTAACTTTTAAGTTATTAACTTATAAGTTATTGTTTTTTAGTTGGGGAACACACTTTGCATATTTTTCATCACCTCAAATTTAATTTTAATCACCTTAAATCTCCATTAAGTCAATTTGCTTGATTATCTGTTATTGTTCACTATATCTTTACTTATTGTCTTTTTCTCTTATTAGTCATTGAGAGGGAGTGATTAAAATCTATAGTCAAAGTTTTGAGCTTATCTATTCCTTTTTTCATATTTTTCTGTTTTGGTTAATGTATTTCAAAGTTTTATTACTTATAAGGATATAAACATTTGAATTGTTATGTTCCGTTGAATCAATGCCTTTATTACGAAATGTTATCCTTTACCACTGGTAATGTTCCTTGCTCTGAGTTATCCTTTGATTTGGAAAAAAAAAAAGACTACAATTTTTGAAATTTATGTTAGCATATCATGTGTTTTCCACATTTTATTTTTTATAAAACATTATATTTACATTTATTTTAAGTGATCTGATAGATATATAAATATTTATATCTAAGTCAAGTTTTTATAAATAGATTATGGTAAGATCTGGCTTGCTTATCTGAAAGTTTGAAAGTTTTTGCCTTCAATTGGTGAGGTAGACTATTTATATTAATATATTCTTATTATAAGGTTTAATATTACCAATTTAATTATTATATTCTATTTTTTTTCATATTTTCTTGTACTTGCTTTCTTCTTTGTATATTCTTTAATGGTTGAGCATATTTTATGATTTTATTTTATATTCTGTATTAGTTTATTACATATACACAATTGTTTAATTTTCTTCATGGGTTCTTCAAGGTTTGCAATATACTTCATTAATGTATACCACCTCAGTTATACTACAAGTATCTTGCAAGAATATATTTTTATTGTTCCTCGACTTGTAACTCTTTGATAGTTATATATTTTTAAAGAAATACTTTTATTTTAATTACCTTTATATTTGTGTGCATTTATCAGAAACAATTCAGAGAGATGCTATGTAACAAAAACATGGTTTCCCCAATGGTAACATATTGCAAACAATAGTACAGTACCACAACCAGGACATTGGTATTGATACAGTCAAGATAAAGAGCAGTTGATCTCTACTAGAGTTTTCATTTTTCCCTTTTCTCACTCCTCTCTCACCATTGAAATTTAAAAAAAATTCCTGGCAATACCTAATACATGTATGTTCTCCATTTTTATAATTTTGTCATTTCAAGAATGTTATACAAATGGAATCACACATATATCACCTTATGGGATTGGCCTTTTTTTCATTCAGGGTGATTCTCTGGAGATTTATCTAGGTTGTTATGTGTTTGAATAGTTCATACCTTGTTGTTGCTGAAGAGGATTTCATGGCATGTTATTCTATAGTTTACTTAACCATTGTGGGACATCTGGGTTATTTTTAATTTCTGGCTATTACCACTAATGCTGCTATATATTTGCTTACAAGTTTATGTGTGAACATTATTTTATTCTTCTGGGATAAATGCTTAGAAGTGCAATTGCCAGGACATGTGAGAGCTGTATGTTTATTTCGTAAAGAAATGGCCAAACTGTCTTTCAGTGAATTTACAAAAGACAATACCATCATACATTCCCATTAGCACTGTGTTAATGACCTAATTTGTCTCTATCATAAGCATATAATATTTTCACTTTTTTAATTTTAGCCATCTGATAGGTATGTAGTAATATTTCACTGCCCTTCCCTACTGAATAATGATATTGAACACATTTCCATGTGTTGGCCATCTGTATAATCTCTTTGCTGAGATGTCTGTTTATATACAATAAAAGTTTTCTAATTAGAATGTGTGCATGTGTGGGATTTTTCTTTTATTTTAGTTTTGAGAGTTATCATTGGACTTCAAAGAATTTGTGTAAAATGGAATCAAAAAATAAAAATATAAACTTAAAACTTAATCTGTCACTATAAGCTCCATCAAGTTCCAGACATTTTTGTAAGTGATAATACGGGCCATTTAATCCATTCCTAATGTGTTGAGATCCTGGGAACTTAACCATGTCAGTGCAATCTTTTTTACATTATTAATAGAATAAAAATAGGTGCCTTTTAATGATTTTAGATTAGGAAACAAAAAGAAGTCAGAAGAAGCCAAATCAGGGCTACAAGGCAAATAATTAAATAATTATTTCCCGTCCAAACTTTAACAAAATTTTTGTTGTGGGGAAGAATTTTCTGTTGAAGCTTTCCCGAGGATATTTTCTGCTACAGCTTTGACTAACTTTCTCAAAACACTTTCACAAAAAGCAGATGTTATTGTTGTTCTTTGGCTTTTCAGAAAGTCAACAAATAAAATATCCTGAGCATTACCAAAAAATCTGTTGCTGTGACCTTTGCTCTCACCCCACAGTCCACTTTTACTTTTACAGGACCATTTCCATGTCTTGGAAGCCATTGCTCTGATTGTGCTTCTTCTTCAAGATAGTATTGGTAAAGCCATGTTTCACTTCCTGTTATAATTCTTCAAATAAACACTTCATGATTATAATCTCATTGGTTTGAAATTTTCACTGAGAGTTCTGTTCTTATCACAGCAGATGGGGTACAATGGTTTTGGCACCTACTGAGGGGAAAATTTGCTCAATTTTAAAATTTTCAGTCAGAATTCTGTAAGCCTTACCAGTTAATATTTCTATGGTGTTGGCTATTATTTCAGCTGTTAATCCTCAGTCCTCATCAATTAGAGCACATAAATTTTTTCCTCACAAATTGATATGCTTGGTCTGCCAGTGTAGACTTCATCTTAACATCGTCAGTTAAGTTGCTTGGAAACAACCGTTTTTAAGGTTTTGAACTTGCTGGGTTCAGTTTCTTTGAATTAGGGCTAACGTACCTCCACTATGGAGCAAGTAATCTATGGAAGGCTCTACCGAATGTCTGTTTTATAAAGTCTTTACCCTCCAGCTAAGAGGAAAATAAAATTGTCCTCATTCTTTGTGCTGCTAACTGTTTTGCCTCTTTCCTCTTAGTGGCTCTCTCCCTCACAGATGTTCTCTGAACAGTTCTCAGCAGAAAACATGAG